AATTCTGAATGTCGTCCCTCAGTTTCATCATTCTTGAAGGAGGAAACAATCTTTCGAGAAAGGCCATAACCAGCTATTCCCATGATTTAATGGAGTTCTTTGGAAGCTCGACCAACCATTTAGTAGCTCCCCCGGTCAATGATAATGGAAATAAGCGAAGCCGTATGGATTCTTGAGATAGATTCTTGAACGATAAAGAGGTGCACACTCCCACAAATCTTCATATATGTTCGTGCGAATCTTCATGCTCTAACCCTCCAAATAAACCTCTTGAATGTATGAGGTGGAGTGTCGTGCTAGTAACTTCAAACATTGCATTTCCGTCGGCTTGTGGCATGCAAATTGCCCATCTCACCCACGTGGGCAGGGTTATAAACACTATTAACATCATCGATGTCGCCTCGATGAAGAACACCACCCACTGGATGACCCGCTTGGCAGCTATTCTCCCCGTTTACTCTCATATGTCCTGTTGTGACACAAATACTCAAAAAACAAAAAATTAAGTGAATAAACTACAACTAAGAAGAACAAAAATACTACTAATCTAAGAATTCTCAAATAACACCACTCCCTGGCAGCAGTGCCATTTTGATGTTTGTGTAATCAAGACACAACTTCCAATGCAAGTGTCTACGATCGTACAATAGTTTAGTAACCCAACCAAGGGTTGGGATCGTTCCCACAAGGAGTGGTTTTGATAATTAATAGAAAAATAAAACTAAGTTCTAATTAGTCATAGTTAAAGATATTATCGATTAAAAACATTACAAATCAAAGGGGGTGACGCAAGAATCTATTAACAATGGGGGTTTTGTCACAAGTAAGCAAAAAATAGCAAAAATACAAAAAGTAATAATCAAGGAGATGGGATTATTGAGATGTGATAGGAATACGGGATAAATGAGATTATTGGGTACATGCTTTTGATAGAGAATTCATAGAATAATTGTGACTAGACTAGACTTTAAGGTGATAACAACAAGGTTAAGGGAGATCACAAATAGAGAATTGAATATTAGAATGCGGAAGCACAAAGAAAAGAAACAAAAAAACTAACTAAAGATATGGGAAATTCGAAGGAAAGATCCACGAATTTCCAAGGATTAGATGTTCTAAGGCCTTGAAAAGATCCAAGTAACAACGTATAGATTTATGGAAGAAATCTAACGCCTTTACTTGAGAAAACGAATCAAAACGATAGATTCGAATCTTGACCGCTTTATGAGTAACTAAAGACAATAATTAGTATGTAGAAACTAATCACCTTCTAAAGAATACCAAAAAGAAACGAAAGATATCACAAGAGAAAGTTACTTTATACCTTAAACTATGAAACTAGTGTAACACATGTATTATGCGTATGCTAGTTCTATTCACGTGATACTTGACATAGCCTTATAGTATAAGTGAGGGACCGTGCTTCTTATATGATTAGTGTTGGTTTAAACTAGCTAGCTCGCAAGGTGATGTAACACCTTGCACGTTTCAGCATGTGTACTGCAAGTTAGCTCCGACGGAAGTATTTAAACTAGAGGTAGTAAAGTGGTAACTGGGCCAAATGCACTACCACTTACTTGCATTAATTTGGCCCAAGTTGAGTAGAAGGATAAGGGAAAAATGGACAGCCAAGGCCCAATAGTCTTAAGTCCAAAAAGACCCAAGTGAAAAGTCCAAATAGGTGGACCACCTACTTGCATTAATTATGGCCTAAATTGACATGAATAGAGGGATAATTAGGAGTAGGGCCCAACAAGTGCTGAAGTTCCCAAAAGCCCAAGTTAAAAGGCCAAGTAGGTGGGTTACCTACTTGACAATATATGGCCAAAATTAATCAAGAAATTCGGCCATTACACCTCCTTTTTAAAGGGATAAAGATCAGATCTTTTGCTTCATTTTTAACATGCAAAATTTTCAGATTTCTTAAGTTTCTCTCTTGGTCTCTCTTGGCTTCAATCAGCAGCCCTAGAAAACCTTGGTTCCTTGAGTATTGCCCTATTTTCAAGTAAAAGTTTGAAGGAGAGTTTCAGTTCTTGGAGTACAACTTTAGAGGATAAATTCCTATAAACTAAGGTAAGACTACAGCCCATTTTTTTTCCTCTCTTTAAATACAGATTTGGGGTGGAGAATTTTGTATATCTTTATCAAGAACTAATGGATGGTGATAAATCTTTGAATTAATATTTTCCTATTATGCTGAAAGATTTTTAGGGATTAATAGTGGCTGCCTTATGTATATTGTTGTTGGGGGATGTTTGGGTATCTTGGAAAAGGATGTATGAAGTTGGATTAATGTATAGAAGAAGGGTGTGGTGGTTCACCATTGGTGCAAGGGTTGTATGGGCCTACTTTCCGTCAAGTGTTAACTATTGTTTTTAGGGCCTTGATTAGCTGCTGACATTAGCTTAATTGTGACTTATATTGTAGATTAGCATCCAAGAAGGGAGGTTGAATTGTGACAGTGGTATTGGTCAGAAAATAAGGTATGTAGGGCGATTCGATTCCATATTCCTTAGCATGAAATCTGATACTTGCGATTAATGTCAATAAGTGAATTTCCTAAGTTCTATTCCTAGTAAAGGAAACGTAGTGGCAATGTACGATATCCAAATAGCTAACAATATCCCCCCCCCTCCTAAGTGTACATAATTACTAAGTTACACGTTCAGTACTCTATAGTCAATTGAAGTCAATTGTGTCATTCAAGCTCTCAAGTAATGCATTAATGTTACATAGCTCCTTATATTGTAGCTACTGTCCTAAAGTATTATTTTCATGTCTCCTACTACTGTCTCGTATTTCCAAATCTCAAAAATGATTGTGACCACCAAAACAACAATCTCAAAGATTAAAGAATATAAGTGAAGCAATTTGTATAACTATGGGTGGCAGCTCAGGGGCGAAAGCCTAGCATGGGCCGATCCCAATTGGTATAGAAGGGTGGCAGCTCAAGGGCGAAAGCCAAGCATGGGCCGATCCCAATTTGTGCAATGTTGAGGACCACATTCCAGGGGTTAAAATGCCTAGCATGGGTCATCCTCTTCTACCACTGATCAGCTGGTCACTTATATCACATGGGTTATAAAGATCATAACACACATAAAGGTAAAGACAAGAATGTAACATACATGACCCCACCAGAGTTAACAGAGGCAACCTCCTATTCTGATTTATGCACTTATACGTTGATACCTGGTTTCGTTTGACCTCTTATTTTTATATATGTAGTTGCCTTACATATTCAGTACACTTTTCGTACTGACGTCCCTCGCGGGGAACGCTGCATTTCATGTTGCAGGCACAGGTACTCTCGCTAGTAGACCTCCTCAGTAGGAGCATACGACACTCAGCCACTTTTGGTGAGCTCCAGGTTGTTTCGGAGCTTTACTCTTGGTAGACTCATTTTGGTATTGTATCGTAGCTAGGGGTAAGGCGGGGTCTGTCCTGACCTACTCTAAGGGTTTCTATCTTTTAGAGGCTTTGTAGACTTATGTATATGGTTCAGTTGCATCTTAACCAGTTGTGGCCTCAATGGCCAAGTCTTGTATATAAGTTTTGGGTCTACTTATGTCGGTTCATATCGTTGTGTCCCTGGCAAACTTGTCACAAAACTTTTATAGTTACATGCATAGTAAGCACAGGTCACATGTTGGTTCTCTCGGGCCGTTAGGGCATCGAGTGCCTGTCCGTCTTAATGGGATTTGAGGCGTGATAAAGTGGTATCAGAGCAGGTCATCCTAGGGAGTCTACAAAGCCGTGTCTATGTAGAGTCTTGCTTATGGATGTGTTGTGCACCACATTTATAAACAGGAGGCTACAGGACATGTAGGAGTTGTCTCTTTTCTTTCATTTCTTAGATCGTGCGATAGAACCAATGTTGTGGTGAATAGTACCTAACTTCTGAATTGTTTTATTATAGCGAAGATGCCAGCTACGAGAAGGAATAAAAGTACAGGTAAGCGAGTGGATGTGGCTGCCCAAGAAGGGACCAGCCAACCACCACCTAGTCAAGCTGTTCAAGGTGAGGCTCAAGATGAGTCTCTATCACAGACTTCCCCGACCCCTCCATCGCCAGAAGAACTAAAGAGGGAAGCTGCACCTCAAGAACTTCCTATTAATGCTACCGAGCAAGATTTGAGGAATGCAGTCCAATTGTTGACTCGTATAGTTGCTGGCCATGGCCAAAGGCAAGAAGGTCCAATTGCGGGTATTAGTAGTGTAGCTAGAGCGGCTGGCACGCGGATACGTGATTTCCTTAATTTGGACCCTCCATCATTCACCAGGACAGATCCTAATGAAAATCCACAAGACTTTATAGATCAGATCCAACGCACTTTCGATATTATGCGTGTAAGTGGTAAAGAACCGCTCTAGCTAGCAGCATATAGATTAAAAGGTGTGGCAATATTGTGGTATGAAGCTTGGAAGCAATCCAGGGGAACAGATGCACCTTCAGCTATATGGAAAGAATTCAAAAAGGCATTCCTTGACCATTACCTGCCATTGGAGATCCGAGAGGCTCGTGCGGATCAGTTCTTAAATCTCCACCAAGGAAGTATGAGCGTGAGAGAGTACATTCTCAAATTTAATTCCTTGGCCAGGTATTCTCCTAATGTAGTTGCTACTATAGGGGATAAAGTTCACCGATATGTGGATAGATTAGATTCATATCTGGTTAGAGACTGTACCATTGCTTCATTGAATAAAGATATGGATATAGCAAGGATGCAAGCTTTTGCGCAAAAGTTAGAGGATCAAAGGCAAAGAAGAAGGACACAAGAGTCAGAAATAGGGCATTCTAAGAGGGCCAGATCTATGGGGCAGTTTACACCATCCCAAGGTGAGTTTAGGCCTAGGTTCTTTAACAGACCGCCTAGGCCATCATCTTCCTACTCTACAGCTAGTACCCCACCTCAATTTCAAGGGTCTAGGGGCAATCAATTTGGGAAAGAGGTGAAAGTCAAGGTTCACGAACAGCAGGATACCAAGAGCAGGGAAGTATGAGCCAATCAAGACCTCCTCGAGAGTTTTGTAAACAATGTGGAAGGAATCATTTAGGTGCATGTCGGTTTGGGACAAATGCTTGTTTTTGGTGTGGAACACCAGGTCATATGATGAAAAATTGCCCTCATAGAAGTGTGGGTGGTGTGGCACAACCTACTAGGTCAGTTGTTGCATCCTCATCATCAGCACCTTCTTTAGGTAGAGGACAGATGCCTACTGGTCGTGGTAGAGGAGCTAGGGGAGCAGCTAGTTCTAGTGGAGTTCAGAATCGCACATATGCTCTCGGGGATCGACAAAATTTGGAAGCCTCGCCGGATGTGGTTACAGGTACATTGTCCATCTTTTCACATATTGTATATGTATTAATTGATCCGGGGTCTACACTATCATATGTTACTCCATTGATTGCTGAAAAGTTCAAAAGAACACCAGAATTATTAGTGAAGCCATTTGAGGTGTCTACACCGATTGGTGACTCTATTATAGCTAGAAGGGTTTATCGTAATTGCATTGTAACTGTTTGTGATCGTGATACGTTGGCTGACCTTGTTGAGCTAGAAATGGTGGATTTCGATGTTATAATGGGTATGGATTGGTTAGCTTCTTGTTATGCCACGGTAGATTGCCGAACGAAGACGCTGCATTTCCATTTTCCAAAAGAGGTCGTTCTTGAATGGAAAGGTAATATTGGGACATCAAGAGGTAAATTTATTTCCTATTTTAAGGCAAAGAAGATGATGTCCAAAGGATGCATATGTCATCTAGTGAGAGTGAGAAATATAGATGCGGAGCCACCAACTCTTCAATCCATTCCAGTGGTAAATGAATTTCTCGATGTATTTCCTGAAGATCTTCCGGGTTTGCCTCCAGAACGAGAAATAGAGTTTGGTATTGATGTGATTCCAGATACTCAACCTATATCCATCCCTCCATATAGAATGGCCTCGGCAGAATTACGGGAGTTGAAGGAGCAATTAAAAGACTTATTAGAAAAAGGATTCATAAGGCCTAGTATGTCCCCATGGGGAGCACCAGTTTTATTTGTACACAAGAAAGATGGCTCGTTAAGAATGTGTATCGATTACCGGCAGTTGAATAAGGTAACGATTAAGAACAAATATCCTCTCCCTAGAATTGATGATTTGTTTGATCAGTTACAAGGTGCTAGGTGTTTTTCAAAAATTGACCTGAGGTCGGGTTATCACCAAGTGAAGGTCTAAGACGAAGATATACCCAAGACAGCTTTCCGAACACGATATGGTCATTTTGAGTTTGTAGTCATGTCATTCGGGCTAACGAATGCACCAGCAGTTTTTATGGATTTGATGAATAGGGTATTCAAGCCATTTTTAGATGTGTTCGTGATAGTATTCATAGATGACATTTCGGTGTATTCAAGATCAGAAGAGGACCATGCTAATCACCTGCGACAGGTGTTACAAATTCTTCGTGAGCGTAAGTTGTATGCAAAGTTCTCTAAATGTGAGTTCTGGTTAAACTCAGTGGCATTCCTAGGTCATGTTGTATCCGATGAAGGAATAAGGGTTGATAATCAGAAGATAGAAGCGGTGAAAAACTGGCCAAGACCTACAACGCCTACGGAGATCCGTAGTTTCCTTGGATTGGCAGGTTATTACAGAAGGTTCGTTGAAGGATTCTCTTCCATTGCTGCACCCTTAACAAAGCTAACACACAAAGAAACCAAGTTTCAGTGGAGTGATGAATGTGAAAGAAGCTTCCAAGAGCTGAGGAATAAATTAACTTCTACACCGGTATTGGTACTTCCAGAAGGAACAGAAGGGTATGCAGTCTATTGTGAAGCTTCGGGGGTGGGCCTAGTATGTGTTTTAATGCAGCATGGTAAGGTAATAGCTTACGGCTCAAGGCAGCTGCGGCCACATGAGAAAAATTATCCAACACATGATCTAGAACTAGCCGCAGTTGTATTTGCTTTGAAGATATGGCGCCACTACTTGTATGGAGTTCATGTTGATATATACACTGATCACAAGAGTTTGCAATATATCTTTAAGCAAAAGGACCTAAATCTAAGGCAGCGAAGATGGCTGGAGCTATTAAAAGATTATGACATTGATATCTTGTATCATCCCGGGAAAGCAAAATAGTAGCTGATGCGTTAAGTCATAAAATAATGGCAAGCATCTATGGGCGGTCTGTGGAAAGACAAGGAATAACTAAGGATCTATGTCAACTAGCTAGCTTGGGGGTTCGGCTTCTTGAATCTCCTGACAAAGGGGTTATTGTGCAAAATGCGGCAGAATCCTCATTAGTAGTAGAAGTGAAAGAGAAGCAGTACACGGATCCTATTCTATTAAAGCTTAAGGAGAATGTACAACAGGGTATGACAAAGGCATTTGAGCTTACGCAAGAGGGAGTACTTCGATGTCAAAACAGATTGTGTGTACTTAATGTAGATGAATTAAGAAAGAGGATTATGATAGAAGCGCATCATTCGACATATTATGTCCATCCGGGGTCAACTAAAATGTATCATGACTTAGAAGAAATGTATTGGTGGGGGGACATGAAGAAGAACATTGCGGAATTCGTGGCTCAATGTCCAAATTGTCAACAAGTGAAAGTAGAGCACCAAAAGCCCGGAGGTTATATGCAGTGTATAGAACTTCCAATTTGGAAGTGGGATATGATCAATATGGATTTTGTCACTGGTTTGCCTCGTTCATTTTGGAAGTTTGATTCTATATGGGTAATTGTTGATAGACTGACCAAATCAGCGCACTTCTTGCCGGTCAAGACTACTTATACAATTGAGGAATATGCGAGGTTGTTTATTAAAGAGATAGTTCGTCTACATGGAGTGCCAATCTCTATTATATCTGATAGGGGAGCTCAATTCACTGCAAATTTTTGGAAGTCATTTCAGAAGTGTTTAGGAACACAAGTGAATTTAAGTACAGCCTTTCACTCTCAAACAGATGGTCAGGCAGAGCGTACAAATCAAACACTCGAGGATATGTTGCGAGCTTGTATATTGGACTTCAAAGGTAGTTGGGATGATCATTTGCCATTGATCGAGTTTGCATACAACAATAGCTACCATTCAAGTATTAAAATGGCACCTTATGAAGCTTTATATGGAAGAAAATGTAGATCCCCAATTAGCTGGTTCGAAAAAGGTGAAACCACCTTATTTGGGCCAGATCTTGTTCATCAAGCTATGGAAAAAGTCAAAGTGATACGGCAGCAGCTAGAAACAGCTCAAAGTCGACATAAATCATATGCGAATGTTAGAAAGAGAGGACAAGAATTTTCTATAGGGGATTGGGTGTTCTTGAAGGTGTCACCAATGAAAGGGGTAATGAGGTTTGGTAAAAAAGGAAAATTGAGTCCATGCTATATAGGGTCATATAAGATTATTCGAAGAGTTGGCCAAGTAGCCTATGAGTTATAGCTACCACAAGAGCTTTCATCAGTTCATCCGGTGTTTCATGTCTCGATGCTTCGGAAATGCATAAGTGACCCATCTCATATTACTCCTACTGAAGATGTACAGGTTACGGGAGATCTCACTTATGAAGAAGTACACATTGCTATTCTGGATCGACAAGTTAGGAAGTTAAGAAATAAAGAAGTAGCTTCTGTAAAAGTATTATGGAGGAACCAACAAGTAAAAGAAGTTACATGGGAAGCGGAAGAAGCAATGAAATTGAAGTATCCTCATCTCTTTCAGATCCATGAGAAGGATGAAAATGTTTAGTCTAGACGCTGACAAGTAAGTATAAGTCTATTTGTATTATGTGATTAATAGTAGCACTAACTTAGGCTTGAACTAGTTTGGGCTGGATAACCATGCTAACATTCGAGGACGAATGTTTTTAAGGGGGAAAGAATGTAACAACCTGTATTATGCGTATGCTAGTTCTATTCACGTGATACTTGACATAGCCTTATAGTATAAGTGAGGGACCGTGCTTCTTATATGATTAGTGTTGGTTTAAACTAGCTAGCTCGCAAGGTGATGTAACACCTTGCACGTTTCAGCATGTGTACTGCAAGTTAGCTCCGACGGAAGTATTTAAACTAGAGGTAGTAAAGTGGTAATTGGGCCAAATGCACTACCACTTACTTGCATTAATCGGCCCAAGTTGAGTAGAAAGATAAGGGAAAAATGGACAGCCAAGGCCCAATAGTCTTAAGTCCAAAAAGGCCCAAGTGAAAAGTCCAAATAGGTGGACCACCTACTTGCATTAATTATGGCCTAAATTGACATGAATAGAGGGATAATTAGGAGTAGGGCCCAACAAGTGCTGAAGTTCCCAAAAGCCCAAGTTAAAAGGCCAAGTAGGTGGGGCCAAGTAGGTGGGTTACCTACTTGACAATATATGGCCAAAATTAATCAAGAAATTCGGCCATTACACCTCCTTTTTAAAGGGATAAAGATCAGATCTTTTGCTTCATTTTTAACTTGCAAAATTTTCAGATTTCTTAAGTTTCTCTCTTGGTCTCTCTTGGCTTCAATCAGCAGTCCTAGAAAACCTTGGTTCCTTGAGTATTGCCCCATTTTCAAGTAAAAGTTTGAAGGAGAGTTTCAGTTCTTGGAGTACAACTTTAGAGGATAAATTCCTAGAAACTAAGGTAAGACTACTGCCCATTTTTTTTCCTCTCTTTAAATACAGATTTGGGGTGGAGAATTTTGTATATATTTATCAAGAACTAATGGATGGTGATAAATCTTTGAATTAATATTTTCCTATTATGCTGAAAGATTTTTAGGGATTAATAGTGGCTGCCTTATGTATATTGTTGTTGGGGGCTGTTTGGGTATCTTGGAAAAGGATGTATGAAGTTGGATTAATGTATAGAAGAAGGGTGTGGTGGTTCACCATTGGTGCAAGGGTTGTATGGGCCTACTTTCCGTCAAGTGTTAACTACTGTTTTTAGGGCCTTGATTAGCTGCTGACATTAGCTTAATTGTGACTTATATTGTAGATTAGCATCCAAGAAGGGAGGTTGAATTGTGACAGTGGTATTGGTCAGAAAATAAGGTATGTAGGGCTATTCGATTCCATATTCCTTGGCATGAAATCTGATACTTGCGATTAATGTCAATAAGTGAATTTCCTAAGTTCTATTCCTAGTAAAGGAAACATAGTGGCAACGTACGATATCCAAATAGCTAACAATATCCCCCCCTCCTAAGTGTACATAATTACTAAGTTACACGTTCAGTACTCTATAGTCAATTGAAGTCAATTGTGTCATTCAAGCTCTCAAGTAATGCATTAATGTTACATAGCTCCTTATATTGTAGCTATTGTCCTAAAGTATTATTTTCATGTCTCTTACTACTGTCTCGTATTTCCAAATCTCTAAAATGATTGTGACCACCAAAACAACAATCTCAAAGATTAAAAAATCTAAGTGAAGCAATTTGTATAACTATGGGTGGCAGCTCAGGGGCGAAAGCCTAGCATGGGCCGATCCCAATTGGTATAGAAGGGTGGCAGCTCAGGGGCAAAAGCCTAGCATGGGCCGATCCCAATTTGTGCAATGTTGAGGACCGTATCCCAGGGGTTAAAATGCCTAGCATGAGTCATCCTCTTCTACCACTGATCAGCTTGTCACTTATATCACATGGGTTATAAAGATCATAACACACATAAAGGTAAAGACAAGAATGTAACATACATGAACCCACCAGAGTTAACAGAGGCAGCCTCCTATTCTGATTTATGCACTTATACGTTGATACCTGTTATCGTTTGAACTCTTATTTTTATATATGTAGTTGCCTTACATATTCAGTACACTTTTCGTACTGACGTCCCTCGCGGGGGACGCTGCATTTCATGCTGCAGGCACAGGTACTCTCGCTAGTAGACCTCCTCAGTAGGAGCATACGACACTTAACTACTTTTAGTGAGCTCCAGGTTGTTTCGGAGCTTTACTGAGCCCTTGGTAGACTCATTTTGGTATTGTATCGTAGCTAGGGGTAAGGCGGGGTCTGTCCCGACCTACTCTAAGGGTTTCTATCTTTTAGAGGCTTTGTAGACTTATGTATATGGTTCAGTTGCATCTTAACCAATTGTGGCCTCAATTGCCAAGTCTTGTATATAAGTTTTGGGTCTACTTATGTCTGTTCATATCGTTGTGTCCCTGGCGAACTTGTCAAAAAACTTTCAATAGTTACATGCATAGTAAGCACAGGTCACATGTTGGTTCTCTCGGGCCGTTAGGTCATCGAGTGCCTGTCCGTCTTAATGGGATTTGAGGCGTGACATAAGGATAGAGGTGAATGACCCAAGTCATGACTAAGGATAAGTTGAGGTTACTTCAACAAGTGTTCCTCATATGTTGATTATTAGTTATGTGCATTGATTATGCTTATGACTTCTGTTGTCTAACTTTTATGCTTATGTTGATGTTTATGCAAGCTATCATATTTAGTACATGTTTGTACTAATTCATACTCTTGCCGACATTTCTTATCCAAATGTAGGGTCCGGTGATCTCAACTCTCATTCTTGTAGCTAGGATCTTAGTAGAAGGCAATCTTGTAGATTGGTGAGTTCTCATAGCATTCGAGGATTTGGCCACCCTTTCTCTTATGTTCTTTCATTTTATGTTTTAAACAATGTTGTATGGGCTGTGTCCCAATATATTCATGTTTTATATGGTTTTGAGACAAGGTGTAATAGACTTCCCCTTTTGATATAAAGACTTTGGTTGTGTTGAAATGTTTTAATTTCCGATCATTTATATTATCTTATGTTATGAATGCTAAGTGGCTTGTATGAGACTGTCACGAGCCGGGATCACCCCCTAGTCGTAACCGGCGTACTCGACCTCGAAGAGGTCTAATACAAGTCTCTTAGCATTCATTCATCGCATAGACACTAAAACCATAGGGAATTAAAATCTTTCTTTACCAAGAAAACACTTCATTAAAAAAAACAATAGCAAGCGGAAGACTTTCTAGACTTTATACATGATGTCTCAAAACCATCTAATACTTTAGAGTACAAATTTCGGGACTAATCCCGTACACAACTTAAACAATACTAAAAGACATAAAAGAACGTATTGGGTATTGTCCTCGAATCTATGAGGACTCACCAAGTCTTCATCTTCAACACTTAGAAAC